TAGTCTGACTTTATGAAGCTGCACCCCTTAGGTGACCAAAACCACCTGATCTGATGGACTGGTGGTGTGGTTTGATCATGCAGCAGGGGTGCAGTATGGCAGAGCTGCAGGATCCTCAAGAAAGCAAAGGGCAGGGACTGGCTTCCAAGCAAAACTTATCCCATCTTCAGTGCATTTCCTGTTGACAGCTGAGAGGCCCCTGAGAAGCATGATAGTGGGAAGCAGACTGCGTGCAAAGCTCCATTCAAGTTCTCTAATGCAGTTGGTATTAGTTTAAATCCCTGAAAAACTAGATGTTTAAACAGAATGAGAATCCTGTTCAAAAGAAAGGCAAGAAGAAAAGTTGTGCTGTGTTGTTTGCTCTCTTTGTCAGTGACTTGTAATGATTTTAGTAATGGTTGTTCAAAAGGACCTGAACCTGTAACTACAAGTCTAGGCAAAATGCGGTCACAGGAACAGCCTTTCCTCACTGCAGGTTTCTGATCGTGTCCTGTCTCCCTGCAGTCCTTTTACACTGAGCCTGCATATTTTGACTAGGGAGGTTGCAGCAGAGGAATTGTATCAGCTGCAGAAAGTGGTTGCCAGCTTGGTGAGCTGGAATTTTCCCACTGCTGGTTTGTTGTTGTTGTTCTGGTTTGTTTTTAAATCTGTCTGCTGAAAATATAGGTAAAGAGCTTGTACCAACCCTCATTCATGTGAGGCTGGACTGCTGAAGGACAGTGCAAAAAAGCTGCTAGTTTCAGTAACTTTGTCTCAGTCCTCATCTGACTTTAAAAAAAAAAAAAAGTACATATACCCTGTTTGGACCAGAATGGGAAAAAGTCCCTAAGTGAAAGAGAATACCCGGATGATTAGAAAGGGTCCTAGAAAAGAGCTGTTCAGTAAAGAGATGCTAATGATAAAGGGCTCCAACTGGGTCATTAAGACTGTCTCAATTAGTGTAACAAGAGAGTAAACTGGACATGCATCAGCTTTGGGACTTCTCAAATTTCTTTTAAACAAAGTAGAAATAACACCAAGAGCAAAAACGTGTGATACGGTGCAGTCAAATCTGGTAAAGGTGCAGGTACTCCTTCAAAAGTGCTAACATGCGTGATCTGAATAGAGGAGAATGAAACAAGTGTGTTATGAGTAATAGTTCTGTACGATTATACAGAGCAACCACTTAGGTCAGTGTTAAAATGCTCATTATTGACGATCACTTCCAAAGCAAATGATCGTTCACTTGTATGCAATGAGTGACATAAGGAAAGGCAGCTATTAATGACCTAGCTAGAGTAAGAATGTTCCACCTTGGAGGTCTAGAAACTTCCTTTTGACTTCCTCAAAAGGAATCCTTCACATATTTTGTAGTGCACTTCCTTCAGCTAAGTTCAGGGAAGCTTAACTTTCCTGGCCAAAAGTGGTGTAAATACCGGGTGCTATGAAAAGAAAATAGGTAAGTATTGGAAGTCTTTAACTTGACCTCTTAAAACGATCAGGCAATTAAAATCCAATAGTTAACTTAAGCACTAACTGGATTAAGTTAAAATATAACTTATTTCAAACTTAAATTTTATAAAAATGTAACTTTAATCTTAAAGCAGATTTTTGGCTTAGAATAACATAATTTACAGTTTGAATACTCTCAACATGACATGCAAGAACTGCTTGAGTTCTGCTCACAGCAGCCTGCTGTTGGGATCCGGTTCAGGACTGTCTCCATTAAGACCATTAAAGATGCTTTTTCTTTAATAGAGGATAGCTTCAGTGTGAAAAATGTTGTGTACTGACATAGTTTCTAATTAACAGAGGTAGGCTGTAACTCCCTTAAAAATTTCAGTGCTTTTGATTGAACCAATGCTTCCTTGGGTTAGGGAGTTCAGTCACTTAAGCATTAAATGCAGCTCATCTTAAGTTGCCCGAAATTCAATTATTACCGTACTGTGGGATTTTTAATAGCAGCTGTGAAAGCAGTTATTACAGCTGGTTATGAAATCAAGCATATGCCTCTCAAAAAAGGGCACGTTTCTAATAAACCTGGGCCGTTTCAGTTTTATTCCCACACTACTTCTCCTTAGTTTGCTGCTGCCCAGGCCCCGCAGCATCGCCCGGCGGGAGCCGCTCCCGGCATGCCGCGCTCTGTCTTGGCGGCGAGGCGGGAGGGTTGTCCGCTACTACATCCCCCGTCAGGCGCTCGCGGCCGCAGTGGGGAAGAGCGAGGCGCGGAACG